CTAACAGTTTCAAGGTTTCACATGAGAAATACTCCATAAAATAACACAATGAGTGTTTGTGGACACACAGTCCAGTTTTGTTGTGTTACTTGACATAAACTGCCTCATCTTTGTTATCAAATACATCATCAAGATTTTTTTTTACACTTCACTATCTTAATTAATAACAAGTGTGTGTGTGTGTGTGTGTGTATTTTCAGTTTTTGTTTTTTATTTGCCAGGTTGTCATCTGATCAGGCTGGAACTCAGAGTGCCCTGGGAAGAGCAGATCGAGGAGGCCACTGAGAGAAAACTCGCCAAGTACCAGGAACTAGTGCAGGAGTGCAGGGGAAGGGGGTGGGAGACACTCTATGAGCCCATAGTAGTGGGTTGTAGGGCTGCAGGATGAACACTCTGCAAAGTCCTTGACCAGCTGAGTGTGGCTGGGGCAATGAAGAAGAGGTCCATCCAGGCTGTAAGTGAAGCGGCAGAGAAAGCCACAAGGTGGCTGTGAATTAAGAGGGCTGATCCGTGGCGATCACCCCCAGCTGCGTGTATGATGTTGCAAGATCCAAAATGCCTAATGACCCCAGGATACATCACTGAAGATGCATGCCAGTGCATCGAGGAGATGTTTCTTGCACAATCATATCAAATGTCTCTAAACACATATGTATTGTTAACTTAAAAAATGTCCATGACCAAAAACCAACACACAGTTCTTTTGAGATAAATTTACATTGTGCTGTGAGACCAAGCTGTTGGACAAACTGTCAGTTTGGCTGTTCTTGCTCTTCTCTCAGTCGAATCTCTTCTTGTTGTGGTTCTGCTTGCCCATTGTTTGGATGATTGCTTTGTCCTATGTTTTGTCTTCCTGTGCAACATATAACAAGTTATTTGCTTCTCAAAATTGATCATTAACATATTATGTTGTTTGGACACTCTGGTCAGCATGTGGTTAAGCTAACAAACTTACATCTTAGATTGTGGAAAACAAGAAATATTTCAAATTAAAAGCAAGAAAGACTAAAGAGAGAATTTATCATGCATTATGCAGTTTTTCTTTTGAGCTGAGAGGGCCAATAAAATTCACATTGAATAGCTTTAAGCTATAGCAGATCACCGAGCACTCCACGCTTCAGTTATATGAGATGTCATATATTTATATTTTTAGCACAGACTGATTTTTGAACTTTTATTTCTTGATCTAAATAAAGGATCCAGATTGTTGTAAATTAAAGACTCTTGTAGGTCTGATATTAGACACCTTTTGTCAAGCAGGTGTATTCATATCAATCTGATTGATGTTTATTGATGCCCAACATTTACAGATTGCATTGAGTGATGTTAGGATGAAAATTGATAGTGACTGGAGATTTTAGAAATTTTATAATACAGCAACTGTAGCCATATATTTTACATTTAGTATGAGGTAACATGGAGGTTTTTGTTTTTATATTGCATGAGAATAGCACTGATGACAACACTGATATTACCACTCA